AGGTGACACTCCCTGCACTCCCCAGCCAGGCCCTCAGAAGCAGCCAGTGGTCACAGAGCTGGGCTGCTCCAGCCAGCCTGGCCTTGGGGAGCCTGGCCTTGTCTCTTGGGGGCAGAGATGGGCCCTGAGCACCCAAAGAGCCCTAAGGCTTTCCTCTGTGGGGAGATCGGAGGGGTGGCTTCCAGTGCTACCTGCAGCACGGGGTTGCTGTGTGGAGAAAGACTAGCTGGGCTGCAGAGGACAAACCCCAAGAAAGCAAGAAGCCGCTGCAGTGGCCGGAGTGAGCACCGGGTCGCCGGGGCAGAGCTGACAGGCTGGGACGCAGGCAGGGCTAAGGCAGGACACAGAGTGCGGTGGAGGTTTGTGTCCTGAGCAGCCTCCAGCATGGGCTTCTCCTGGAGTGGAGAGGAGGAGCACGCCTGGGAGGGTGAGTACAAACACGGGTGAGAGGCGGCAGGGCCCCACAGGGTGGGCAGAGGTGGCTCCTCTTGCTCCTCTTGCCTGGTCTCTTGCTCACTTTAGCAGTGGTGGACATGAGGTTTCTGTGGGAAACATCCCTCCCCGTCTTTCAGGAGTGGAGAGTTGAGAGTGTGAGAAGGGAAGCAAGTGTGAGAGGCTGCCGTACACGTCAGAGGTTGGAGAGCAGAGGGCTCTGGGGTGGGAGGGAGGGGAGGGACGGGGTAGCAGACGGCTCTGGCTGGAGAACAGCTGGTCTCCGGGTCCTCTCTGAGGACACAGGTGGGCTCACAGGACGGCTACCCACTCCATCCTCCGAGAGGTGCCTGCTCACCTGATTTGGGGTCTTTCCCATGCTTCTTTTTGTACTTTAAGCAAACACTGCTCAAAGGTACAAATATGTAGCATGATCTGACATGTTCTAAAACTTTAAATGGTGCCATACTGATCCTGTGTCTTGCAGCTTCTTTTAAAAATGTATCTATGCTGGGCTGGGGATTTAGCTCAGTGGTTCCACCACCTGTCTCGCAAGCACAAGGACCTGAGTTCAATCCCCAGTACCCCGCCAAAGAAAGTATCTGTGTTGGTCCAGGGATTTAGCTCAGTGTTCTGCCACTGCCTCACAAGTGCAAGGTCCTGAGTTCAGTCACCAGTACCAAAAAAAAAAAAAAGTATCTATGTTAAAGTCAGGCATGGTGGGAGGCTGGGACAGGAGGGTTCCCACCAGCTCAAGGCCAGCCTAAAATGTACAGCAAAATCCTGTCTCAAAGAAAACAAGAAGACCTGTTCTATTTATTGAAAAGAAAGCTTTTTGATATTATATGTTTGTTTCTTCAAGAGAGAATCTTTGTGCCAGGCGTGATAGTACACACCTATAATCCCAGCACTCGGGAGGCTAAGGCAGGAGGATCGCTGTGAGTTTGAGACTAGCCTGGGCTACATAGTGAGTTCCAGGTCAGTCTCAACTACACAGTGAGACCCTGTCTCAAAAAAACCAAAAAAAAAAAAAAAGAGAGAGAGAGTGACAGAGAGAGAATCTTTGTCTATGTCTTATACTCTGCATAAGTACTTTGAAGAGCCCAGTGTACTGCTAATATCTTATTTTGTCATGAAATTTAAATTTTTTATAAAATAAAAAAAGAACTGTTCTAAGTTCTGTTTGGAAGACCTGTGCTTCTTGTTAATTGATGAGTGAGGTGTGAAGGACGTGTCCACACATTGGTCCAGAGCCTTCCACGCCTCCAGGCCCAGCAGGCAGTTAAGCTCACTCTGGAGGAATAGGGTGTCCGAGTGGAGTGGAAACGGCTGTCCCCACTTGAAAGTAAGACACAGCGGCTTGTCTACGGGGGGTAAAGAGAGGGTCCTGCCTCATGGATGGTGCTAGGATGAAAGGGGAAACAGGAGGCCTACGTTCAAGCCAGAGGAGTCTCCTGAGGGTGACTAGTCAGTGGATTGGCCCACCCAGGCTCATGTAGACCACACTGTCCACGCTGCCTCACCCTGCAGACACACGGGAAGTGGCGTTTCCTTTTTCTAAGTCTGATGGTGTTATTTTCTCATAATGCGTAACAGGCGGTGTCCCTGTTTCTGTCTTTCGAGGAGTGCCTCCTCTGTACCCTGGCCCTCACCTTCCTGCGCACGTGGCACTTACCAGCTGGTTGCTTCTCGCCTCCTCCATGTCATTGTCTCAGAGCAATGTACACAAGAGCTGGAGGCAGGCCAGGTTTTGTCTTTTCTCCCATGTTCAGGGCCTTGGCAGAAGAACGGTTCGGCTGGGGTTTGGGGTTTTAAAACTTGGCGGTACTTTCCTGGCATCTGAGGATACCAATTGTGGTTCCTGGTCTGTTTTCTCGGCCACTCACTCACTGCTTTTGGGTTACTGGCTTACCATTAGTATTAGCCCAGCTCTAGATTTTACAAGGGCCCAAGAAGCTAATCACTGATGTGTAGAATTGATCCTTTGCTCCTCCGTGTATTTATCATCACCAGTAGCCATCCCTTCCATCCCTAGGTAGGTTTCCTCCTTCTCATCTTTTGACTCCACTTGAAGCCACTGTGTAAGAATTGAAGACTAAAAAGAATACTTTGTGGCTGGGGATTTAGCTTGGTGGTTCTGCTACCTGCCTCACAAGCGCAAGGGCCCAAATTCTATCCCCAGTACCAAAAAAATAAAAAAAGAACACTGTTTTCAGGGGTAATGAGGAAGCCACTGTAGCTCCTCCATGGAGAGGCCCAGTGGGGCGTGGTTCTGCCTTCCGGTGGGGGTCTGTGCAGCTGCAGTAGGGCTCTCCTCACAGCAGCAGCATTTCTGCAGGCCTAGCTGGGAGCTGTGCCCTTGCTCTATGTGGGAACTGGGGACTCGCTTTTCCAGAGGGCCTCGACCCTGCCTGCTGATGTGTGGTGGGGAAGCCCGGTGCCTGTGGCAGGGGCCCAGCCAAGGCCCAGTGCCAGAGGGGAATAGTCTTTGAGGAGAGATTGGAGACCCAGGTTCTGGGCTTTGGGCCACCAGGTGTCCTTGTGGGGAAACGTGAGATGGGCATAATGAAAACTGGGGACTGAAGGAAAGTCCTCAAATTGATGACAACTCCCTCCCTATCTCTTTCTGCTGCTCGATTGCTAGACACTGACACTCAGGTTTCTGTTCTGGCAGTAGGAGAATGGAGCATTTCTAAGAAAGAGTTTGCTGTGAAGAGGAAGGAGAAGATGATCTGTTGAAAATTCTAAACATGGTAATAGATGTGGAAAACACAGTTGAAGGTTAGGAGAGTATGACTGAAAAAGATCCTGGGCTGGGGATTTAGCTTAGGGGCACTATTGCCTGCCTTGCAAGTGCAAGGTCCTGAGTTTGATCCGGTATGGGGGTGGGTGGGTGGGTGGGAGAGGTCCTTTGGGAAGTAGGACAGGACAGAAAGATAGAGCACAGGACAGGCGAGC